GACAGAGTGCTCCAGGGTCATGTGAAAATGAGTAGCAGCTGGACCTGGAAAACTGCCTCTATCGTGTGGCGTTTTGGGTGAATTTTTTTAACATAAAAAGGAAAAAGGATCACGGTGTTTACATCCACTTCACCAAGTTGAAAGCCTAACAGCATCCGTCTAGCAGGGGTTTGAGACCAAAGTTAAGGGCGAGTTCCCCTAAAGCGTGCACGCACGCTATGTCTCAAAAGGAGCCAGGGTTATGCTTTAAACTAAATGTAAAATGCCTTCCTACTTAAATGTGTTTAATATCTAACTTTTGGGTCGCTTGCTTGTTTGGGGGTATTTTTTGTAATTTTGCCAACGACAACAACCAGAAGGTTATGCATGAGAGTGTGACGCTGGGGCCAAAGTGTGTGACAAGGCCCGGCACCAGCAGCAAGCTAGACAAATACACGAGCAGGAAAGCCGCCCACCGGAAACCCCCCCACTCCTCCCCGCCCCCAACACCCCGCACCTGGGAGGTCAGGAGTCTCTCCCCGCTCTCCGCTCTCACGCACCCCCTTCCAGCCTCCCCGGTTTATCCAGAATCGCTCTCGCTTCCAGCCCTCACAGGCACCCTTACTGTTAGAGGAAATGACACCCAATTCCCCAAACCCTGTTCCGGCAGGTTTGACCCAACTGCCCTCAGCGCCCTCTTCCCGACCTCTCAGAGGCCGGAATTTGTCTAAAAACTGATCACACGAGGGGCACCGCATATCCACACTCGCCACCGTTCATACGCAGACCACAGCAAACAGCACACAGCCTCAGCACGTCACAGCCCAGATGTCACTGTGCCGCGAGGACCGTGTCAGGTGAAACTGTGGCTTCCCTGCATTGGACCTGCTCCCCTTCTCTCTCCCAGCCCCCTGAGGAGACACAAAACCAAACGAATCCTTGAATCCTTGAATCCTCTCATCAGCAAGAAAAAGGCTTTGCATTCGCCTGTCGCAGAACAACTTCCATGGAAAGTCACTCCTGCCGCTTGCACTCCGAGAGGAATCTGACCAGAGGCGGCTCGAAATGATCTCCAGTTATTTCAGCCCTGTTCTCCGCTCAAGGCCGAACACATTCAGAATTATTTCCCTGCCACGAACAGCTTCCTGCCACACTGCCCCCCACCTACAGATAAAGCACGCACACGCGCACGTGTGCACACGCGCACACGCGAATCATTGTCTAACGCTATAAGGAGAGGAGCAGACGCCCCGTAAGGTAATTGCTGTATTAAAAAGAAGTGGCAGGCGAGAATAATAAGGGAGGTGTCAAAAGTGAAATGCAGTAGTAGACTTAAAAAAAAAAAAAGACTACGGCTCGGCGATGGGGGTGTTAATTGAACACAGAGGGAAAAAAAACAGAGAACAAAAGGGTGTTAAGGGAGCAAGAAATAATTTTTTAACCTCCTTCCGTGATTTGATTTAACTTCAGTGCAGATAATGCACAGAAGGAAACTGGCTGAAAAGTGCCATATATAGCTATTATGTTCTAAAATTAAAAACTATTCACAACAATTATAGCTATTCATTGCTATCTATAAATATTCTCCTCAGTAAATGGCACCGATATATTTTTTTTTGTATTTTCCTAATTTTTAAACCCGCATGATTTTTGACACAGAAGTAAAAAAAAAAAGAAAAAAAAAATCAAAGAGTTTTAAAAGCTGTTCGAGGTCTTTTTAAGAAATGCAATACGTTTGACTTTTTTTCCTCCTCTTCTTCCATCCCGTCGACCCCACCGCCACGTGCACACACGTGTACAACACGGCCTGCTGCTAATGCGCCAGAAGACCAGGAATGACGCCTCAAAAAAACAAAGAAAATGAGATAGTAAATGGTCTAAACCCCTATGTTAAACCTCTGCGTTCCCGGAAGGAGCAGGCAGATAAAAGCCCCTTTTACACACATCACTGTAGCTCGAGACGGGTTTTTCCTGCCGTTGTTCGAGCTTTGCTGGCCGAGCATTTTGCAGGCATTCTTTCTTCTTACCATTTATTAAAAAGCAAAACGGTATCGAAATAAAAACTTACCCACCCTCTGAAGGGAGAGACACATGGGTTCTTCTTCTACTTCTTCTTCTTTTTTTTTTTAATATCCCCACAGTAATTTCTGACTTAAATACCTATCAATCAACTGTAACGTAGCCGGAGCTGCCTACTTTGGGTGCTGTGCGCCTGTTTCTTTCAAGTTCCAGAATGCTGGTACGACAACCTTAGCTGGTTTTCCTACTTATTTCTGAGTTTCCCATCTGAAATCACTCACAAAAGCACAAACAGCAAGTGACTGCAATGTCCACGCTGCCATCAGCCCTGCCTGTCTCACAGACCCAGGTGAGCCAAGTGCGGGAGAACTTCTGAGGCAAACAAAGCCCACCCCAGACCAAGCGGCCTCCACGGCGCTGGGGCTGGAAGCTCAAAAACACGCAGGAAATGAGAGGGGGCTGGAAGGTGCCAGCACAACGCAGGAGTATGTGCGACCTGACCATCCCTGCGATTTCACCGGCTCTGCATCAAGAGCGAAAAAGCCCCTGTAACTTTACACTTTGTGGCCCGGACAGCCGCCGCACGGGGAGACGCCGGGCCTGGTGAGCCGGAGGCGGCGGAGCTGCTGGTCAGAGGCTCCCTCCGCCACCCCGCGCCTTCTCCTGCCTGTAGCCCAGGGCACGGGACATTCCGGAGAGGGTCCTTCCCTCCCCTCCATCCTTCCGACGCACACGTAGAAGAGAAGAGGGAGGTCGGCCGTTTTTTTTTTCTTTCTTTCTTTCTTTTTTTAATTTAACTTTCCCCCGTGGGTGCCCCCTCAGCCCGAAACTCTGTGCATGTGCATGTGTGCGTGTGTGCGTGTGTGCGCGTGCACGCACATGCACGCGTGTGCAATTCCCCTTCGACACAGGCGCAGTGATCCTCTTATTTGCAACTTACAGTACTTGACAAAGTATTTTTTTAATATACTATTCTAGAGACAACACGCGAAACTTTAATTTAGATTTTTTTCATTTCCAAATATTATTCTGTCATTAAATGACAGAAATTTAAAAACAAAACATCCACCCCGACAATAAACTGCACTTTCAGAGCGCTGCTTTGGCTAAAACAACTGCTTCCTACCACCTCGGTTTGGCCAACACAAGGACCACGCTCTCTAAGCCACACGGGGACCAAGTCTCCGGTCACCCCGCCATGCTGATCTACTGCCTCAGCAGCTTTTAATGAGAAGACTGGGATTAAACACTTCGGTCACCACATACAGCTAAGTGCTCTGATGGGCTTCCTCTCAAAAATCTGATGCAGCGTCCGCACACGCAGAGTCCCGTCAGCCTGGGCCATCAGATATATATGTCTTTGTATCTTGATCTTACATTTTATGAATCAAGATCAGCAGGACGCATACTACACTAGAAACAAATTTCAACAAACCAAATATTCGAAGTAAATAAGCATCAACATTAACAAAGAAAATGAGAAGGAAGAAAAACAGGAGCGAAGAAAAAAATACACATATGCACTTAGGATTCCTGCTCCGGGCGAACAGAGAGAAAAAAAGAAAAAGTGTGACAAACTGAAAAAGCTCTTTCGATATCGATATGCACACACCATAAATCTCTTCAAAGGTGTCTCACAGCTAAAATAATGCAATTAACGGCTCTGCACCAAGGTTGGGCTCGGGCTCGGCAACCTGGAATGCTCAGGGTCCGAGCATCCTGCTCAGGTGCTTTGTCTGGGATGCTGTGCACAGCGCGAGGAACATCCAACAAAGGAGCCGCCTACTAATTTTACATACAATTCAAGACCCAAGTAATTACACAGTCCATCAACGGTCACATCTTGAAACTATTTATTTTCTAAGAGAAACGCGGAGAACTCTCAGACAGAAAGCCACCCTGTGTGCCCCCCCCTTTATGTGTAACTATCAATGTATATCAACCGGGCATGCAATCATATTTATTGTCACTTTCATTCATGTCATGCCCTTGCTTCTATGGTTTAGATATGAATTATTGACTGTTACGCTCCTTGTTGTAAAAAATAAATAAATAAACCGGCTGTCAGGTGCTTGGCGCGGCTCGGCCGCGGGCGGCGGGTCGGGGCCAGCAGAGGCTCCGCTTTCTGCGGCCGACCCTCGCGCCTCATCCGCACGCCCTGGCTTCACGCTGCCCTCCCAGCTCCGTCTTGTTACGAGACAGAGATTCACCCACTTCGGGAAATTAAAGATTAAAATAAACAACCGCGAGGATGCGCGAACCGCCCCTTCCGGAGCATCTGCTGTTTAAGAACACCTCTGATTGATGACTGCTATTTTTTAATTGTTGCTTTAAAATTTAAACGCCCCCCTGGGATGTGGTATAAGTGTGTTAGTCCATGATATGAGGTCTAGAAAGTAGAAAAACAACCGAAAGAGTGATCTCACAGCATTACGTTCTCCCGGCCCTGAGATCGCAGGCACCCCACACCGACGGCCGGGTGCTGCACAGCGCTCCCCATGGCTCCCCACGACTGCCCACGACTGCCCACGACTCCCCACGACTCCCCAGGACGGTGTTGACAACACTGCTGAGAACCCCTCCTCCGCGGCTCCACGTAATTACAGAGCAAAAAGGAAAGGGAACTTTAAACAACTCCCCCTAAATGAGTGTTCTAAATGTGGGCCAAATTTATTCCTTCAGGAAATGGACTTTTACTTTCATATTTTCCCCAGAAGGCACATCATTCTATAAATGTCCCTCCAGAACCTCTATGTTAGCCTCAGTTTCTAAAAAGCCAGGAACAGAGTTAAGGAAAATAAACCAGTAACGCTTGATAACTACCCAAGAAACTTGCTGCTCCTTTCACAGGAAGCAGGCCACAGGACAACCTCCTGGAACATGCGATCAGTCTTCAGAGTCCTTCTATTCTGCAATTTTAATATTTAAATAATGGGTTCCTGATTGCCGGTTAAGTGAATCAATTGGCCAAAGAAAATGCTTAGTGCCGGAATCTGTCCTACCTGTTTTTTCTTTGATTTCACACAGCACATTAAACAAGGCAGGCTTCATTCTGTGGCAGTTTAAAGCATGTTTTCTGCAAGAAAGAAACAACATCATCATAGCGTAGGTGGACTCTCAAGCTCCAACCGCTAATAATGCACAGCGGGGTCAGGGGGACTGAACATTTAGCCAAAATTATACGCCGGGCATAACTCTGCGGCACGCTTCAATTGTTTTATGACTTAATATATAGAGCCCCAATGCAGAAAGAGAAATAATGTTAATTAGCAGGGAGAGAGTAGGCATTTAACAACAGAACAGAACTAACCTAAATTATGCCCATTTAGGCAGAGCTAGTTTTTTTTTGTTGTTGTTTTTTAAGTACTTTAATCAAAATGAAATTCTGAAAACAATAATCCTACCCAGGGAATGAAGGCAGCACAGCCCCGCGCACGGGTTAACAGTTCCGTGTGATCTGTGCCACCACCACAGGCTGGGAGCTGCCTGCCTCTCGGTCTGTGTGTATGTTTTCAAATTTAATTCCTCCATGTGTTCGAATTCATTCTGCAGATTCCCCCGTATTCTCATAAACACAAGATGCTTGAAAGGTCTTCTGAGCAGAACTGTCAATTTATAAAATTTCAGTCCCCGAGTTAAAGAGTATGGAAATGCATTGCCAGGGGGCAAACATGCCCATGTGGGGAGTAAATTCATTTCTCTGTGTTCACATTAGGCCTCGTGTGCACACACCGCTTATTTGCAGGTGTTGAAATTCAATTATTTACAATTAGGACCTTGCACCCACTGGGGAAAAAAATAAATACAATTCTCCCTCTTAGATTAGTGATTTACCTGGTTCTTGTGTGTGTCTGCGTTCCGAGTGCACTTGGGGAACAAAACAATACCTTTCCCTTTATTTTACTATGGAAGCACTTAGCAGAAGGATATTGTTTTGGAAACAAAATCCTGATCGTATCAGCTATTAGTTAAGGGAATTCTGTGTACTAACTAAAATTAATGTGTAAAGATAAATGAAAGCCCCTGGCACTCAAGACGCATGCAATTCTTTTTTAATCCCTTTGAAAGTTAAAAAAATATATATAGAGATAGATATACCCGTCTCCATGAAGAACAGAAACCAGAAGCATGCTCTATACACTGTATGGCAGAGGAGTAATAAGCTCAAAATTCAAGAGTATCAAAACAAATATACAGTGTATCTAAAATAGTAATAGTTTACTTTGTAAATAATAAATGTATCTTTTGGAGGGGTGACTAGAGGAAAGGAAAAACAGATACAGTTCTTGCTGAAGAGAGTTACATTGTTAAACCGAAAAGAAAGCTTAGTGGGGATTTAGTTCTGTGGGGTCAAAAAAAAAAAAAAAAAAGGTGGAAAGGATTTTAATGTATCAAAAATTTCTCTTGAGGCCTTTAAAATAGTTTTCATTAACTGTATTCTTACACATAGGCCCGAATGCGAAAAGAAAAAAGGCAAAACGAAAACAAAAACAAAAGAAAGCCCCACATGGCTTTCCAGAAATATCGCATTTCCAAAGCACACGAATGGGGTTAGAGAGCGAGAGAACGGGCATTTCCCCGTGCCTGCGTGTGTCTCCTCTCTCGGCATCGAGGCCATTAAGAGGGGGGGCCCCGCCAAGCCACGCTGTCCTCAGTGTTAGAAAAAGGAGCGGGACCGAACATCAGAAGAGTGTGGCTCTCCGGTCTCCCCAGCCCCTTCCACTTCAGAAACTTACTATCAGAGCGCTTTACTGATGTGTCTCAGTTTATTTTTCTGGAACGATGCAATAGAGAAATTTGCTCCAATTCAAAAAGAGGCTGTCAGGGGGAAATCTCGCTTCGACATACTTACTGGTTTTGTTTGGTTTGGTTTGGTTTTCCAAAAAATAAAATTCAAAAACGGCACTGGTTAATTTTGGAAAACTTTTCCCTATTTTAAAAAATCTGGGATAATCCCAGCCTTCGAACAGTTCCAAGTTTTCGAGGACCCGTAAACCTCAGCACTTTTGAGTTTCCATGTTGCATGTGCTTGCCGCTTAAATAAGAGTGTGATTCACAACGTCCATGTTTTTAACTGTTTCTTCTCATTTCTCGATTCAAATTCCTATTTCCCTAAGACAAAAATACATAATCATGTCTTCTCCATGTGACTAAGTCATTCTATAGTATAGACATTGTGTATATATTTAAGACTACTTCTGAGATTTCACAAACTCATACGTGATTGTAAAATTCTCCCTTTCGAGATGGGCCTTGGGCAAGCTGTTAGGGATGTGCCACTGTGTCTGTGTTTTATTTTGAAAGAGAATTTACTGTAAAATCCTAGAGGGGAGAACTATACAGCTGGCAATGGATTAGTTGAGAAGCTACACGGCTTATTTATTATGTTTTTTTTTTAATGAAGACCGTCCTCTAGTATTGAAATACATAAAATTCACCCATGCCTTCATTTCCATTTAGCTGCATTCCGAGTGGCCCAAAGGAGCAAGTGGGGAAGAGCATGCTGGATTTTTGTCCCCCCACCCTTTTTAAAGGACCATACAGTCTGTGCCCTGGAAGGTTAGCAAACCCACTCGAATTAAGGGACATTAAAGTTAAAGTAAATATCCTACTCTCTTAAAACTAACAAATATGTCTACAGTGAAATTATCTCTTCTATCTTTCCATCCGCCTTTTTGGGAAAGAGAATTAAATGAATACAAACCATTTTCTGGATAGTTGACAACCATGGACAAAGAATTACCTTGGTTTTTAAGGGGGAAGAAAAGGGAAAAGACAAAAATTGACTGGGAAGGGGTATATCAAGAAAGAAGATCAGAAGTCTCTGCTTTCGGTAAGGTGTCGACTAAATTTGCAAAGAAAGTGTTCTTGGAACATTTTATTTTGTAATGTCACGGGGTCCCTCACGGAGAAGACATGGACTGCTGTTCAAAACTTGACAATTCTGCTCTCTCTGACACTTTTTTATAGCAGTAAAAAGTGCCGAGGGCTGCTTTTGGATCAGTTGGCAGTATTTTCTGCGTGCCTGAGTGTTTGTGTGGACATACGTGAATGCCTCCATACACACACACACACACACACACACACACACACAGCCACCTCACGGCAGGGGCGATTACACTTCAGATAACAACGCTCCTTCAAATTTTACTCCTCCGCCATAGAGTTGCTCGTCCAAATAGGAAAAGAAATAACATTTAAAAAAGAAAGCGCTGTGCTGATTCGGTTCCCATTGTTTCCCCCTGCGAGAGGGAGAAAAACAAAAAACCCCAAGAAAGGAAAAGAAAAGGCTGCATCTCACCTGGCCTGCGCCTCGTCCAAACTCTGGTCGGTGATGGTCATGATCTGCTGGAGGATGTCCCCGATGTCCTGCTTCCTGCCGCCCTCCCCCTCGGTCCCCGCGGCCCCGTCCTGCAAGTGCTGGGACAGGCCGGGGTGCCCGGCCATGCCGACCCCCGCGTGGGCGTGCATCAGCCTGGGCTGCTCGTCCATCTCCGAGCAGCGCAGCCCGGCTCCGGGAAGCACCAGGCTTTTATCCGTCAAGCTGTCTTCAAATCCTTTTCAGGATAAACAGAGCAGGGGGGAAAAGAAGACCAAAAGAAAAAAAAAATCCCTTTGCCTCTTTGCAGGGTGGTGGGAGGATGGGGAGTGGGGAGGGGTTGCGGGGTGAGGGTGGGGAGGAGGGCTGGTGGGGAAGGGTGTTGACTCCAAAAAGCAAGGAAAATAAACCACCTTCCCACTGGCCGACAAGAAATCAGAGCTGGCGTGGGTTCGTGCGGTCCGGTGTCCTCGGCGAGGCAGGAATGGGCTCCCGGCGCTTAAATCTGGGGCTTAATCCTTTCGCAAATATGCACGGATCGGGAGAAAGGAGAGCCAGGCAGCGGGATTGCAATGCAAACTTTCCCCCCGCCC